GCTAATACCGCGAAATTCGATTCGGTGTATCCCACGATGGGTCCATCTCTCTATCTGTCTATATACCTTTAATTAGTGTTATTTTCTTTCTTTCCAAGTAAAGAGTAACAGAGGTTCTATTATCATACATTTATAGAAATGTTCGATGTCATGAAAATTGAACAATACACACACGTGCACTCTTAGAAACACGAAGCAATTCCACTTCATTTACTATCATATTTGGTAGATGGTACTAAAATCGAGAAAGGCGAGACCACTCCGCAATAAAGGTGGCCAATCGCGCCTCTGCGTGACGCTTTACGACTGCACTTTATTGTTCGTCCGTTACGGCTGATTGACGTGCTTTACACGGCTCTACCACACTTTATACCGTCATTAGGATCCACCAATAAAACCCGAATAGTTCTTAGTTAAGACATAAGTACATACCTTGTTTTATAGACGGACGCTTAATTAGATAAAAATGATACGCATTAAGAAAGATAATATCTACAATGGATTAGGTTTCATTTGTTAGTTGGAAAATGAGCTTTCGAATGTATTTAATGGCCGTTCTGAGTAAAACGCCATCGCGTGCTGGTGCCGTATGTCTCCGATATCAACGGAATGTTATGTTCTATAGCCGTAGTCATTGCTTACACGCGTGTAAGGAGAACTAGCGAGAATAGCGTGCACGCACTCACTCTGCATACTAGACAAATACCATTAGGTAATCAGCATGCTAAGTAAATATGTCAAAAAACCCTGTATTAAACTTAAACTAAGTATAAAATAAGTACACGCTTCCTCTTATAGTAGACTGAACTGAACTGGTGCAACTTACCTGCAGCACCGCAACACTACATTAGCTCTGGTTCTAGCAGAAGTCCAAAATGTACCTATAAGCCTCTACCTCCTAAACTGTACAGTGCTACAATGATGTAAGTGGGTGTCTGCCTGTGCCGTCACGGTGACAGGTAACTAGCATGAATGGTGAGACGTCATCACTCATCGCCACGACAAATCACCACCTCTCAACACCGACGCGAGTCTAGCGCGAGGCTCCGCCCTCACACAAGACCTTTAGGGGCTATTTTATAGTTATAATAAAACTTCTTTGTGTATTTTCAAGTTCCTGTGTAGTAAATAGATAAACCTGCGAGTGTCATCGCTCTGTGATCAAATTTAAAGTTATGAGATGAGATTTCTATTAAGAGGTTATAATATATCGTATCAGTATTTTCGACAGCACGGATGGCGTAGTGGTTTAAGCGGTCACCTCGCCACTTCCTACAACGCTGAGGGTTTGACGGGTTTGATCTCCACATGGGACATCACTTTGGGTGTTACACAAATTGTTGTTCTGAGTCTGGGTGTTCTTTGTGTCCATTTCATGTATGTTTGTAAACTCCCCCGCCAGACAGGATATATTAATAATGCGGAAGTTGTCTTTCTAAAAAGAAATAAAGAAAAAATACATAATTTCGTACTACACTGCTGCAGTCTTTACGAATGAGCTGTGTAGTTATGGTCTTTATTAATTCCCCAGTCAACTTCAATTAAATCGAGAAGGCATTGGGCCCAACGAAGTACTGTATTGCAAAATGTTCACCGTCACCGTCACGTCATTGTATTGCTATGAGTTACCCTTCCGCCTCGTCGCTGCTTCTTCCCTATGCCTTGAGTTGTCGAGGAGGTACGCAGATCTATGGATTGGAACAAATATCAGACACTCTTGCCTCGTTTCGTTATGTTCGGGTCAGCAACATCTCTATTTGATATAATATAGTGTTTGTTCATCCTTACATTTTTAATGCTATAATTATACATCATCATCATCATCAACAGTATTTAAAAGTCCACTGATGGACATAGGCCTCTCCTTAGAAGGAGGTTTTGGTCTGAATAGGCAGGTATACATATATACTTAAATGTTTACTTTTTTGAAAACGTTACTTTTTTCTATTTGGTGTCACTGACAGTTTGCCTTAATGCTAATTCACGCGATCGGCTACGCAGTTAGTTAGTGTTATAAACGAATAAACAAATTGAAATTCGCATCAAAAATATTAATTGACCCGCATCCTTCAATAACATGTTCTTATGTACACTAACTTTCCAATGATTTCTTACCAATATCTACCGGAACAACTAAAAAGGTAAACATTTTACCCTTTACCTTTTAAATTTTCGAATTCATTTAGAATTGAATATTTGATCATGCTCAATTAAAATGTAATACAAAGGCCTTGTCTTAAATTCTGGCCATAAAACACGGCACGGACAAGATATTATTAGAAGGTAAGCCATTTCCCAACACCAAAATTATGAACAGATTGTAGATGATGTGATTTCTGCATCCAATTAGACATTGGATGTTATTACTAGATCAATAAAGAGTCGCTGAACGAGTTTCGTGGTCACGAAGGAGGGCATTATATTAAAAGTAAATTATAGGCTGCGCTAAGGTGCATGGTGCCTACCTACTGTGCATGTCGGCCCACCATTATATTGCATGGCTCGCCTTCACCGGCCCGAACACTAATATTATTATGTTGTTATTTATTGTTCATTTCATTTGACTCGATCGATCGAGGTCACCTACATTTTGTGATGTTCTCACACTCTACTTCTCCTCTTACGATATCTTCGCACTTTATGGAACAATTTAACAATCTATTTTTGAATTAAACTGGATGCTCAGAGTTGGTAAAATTTATATTTAATTCTAGGTTATAATTAATTCCGAAGAACACACATCACAAATTTTTAACACACTTTACATAGTAAGAAATGTCGTTTTTTTTCTTGTACACTTAGGTCTTTCAAAGTACGCAACGTATTTAAATGCGGTTTTCACCAACAGAGAGGGTAACTTAAGAGGCGGGTTTATATGTGTAAAACATGTATATTATAGTAGAGGAAATCCGAGAATTTCAAAGATTTGTAATATGAAGTCGTAAAAACATGTTTTTATGCGCTTACATTGCAAACGCTGGCTAAACCTCACTGGATCCAATGGATCTGTGGTGGTGTGGTGGTTACACCATTTAAGTCCTACGGTTCTAGCGGCTAGCTGGCGGCTCTAACTCAAAGGAACAAATTATTCAAGTTTGTATTAGCTGTACGGTCGCAGTCATAAGTCCAATAGCACTTTTACAAAGTTATAGCATTCTAGTTATAATGCTATAACTTTGTAAAAGTGCTATTGGACACACACATACACAGACTACATGCGTATGATTATAGTAAGTAATTCATTTCATTTTTAGTCATTTTAAACTAGTAGTCACTAAAACTTGAGGGTAGATTTGAAAAAATATGAATTTGCTGGCTGTAATCAATTTGTTATAACGTCGGTTGGTAAATTCAGTTACTGCTACTTGTGGTGTTTATATTGAATATCGGAATCCAAAAAGCAAGTAAATATTACTATTAAAGCCAAGACTAACTTTTTAGTTTTTCATAGCAGTGAGCTTAATTTTTCTGAAATGAATAATAAATCCAATGAAACACGCTTAAGTGTAGGTTAGATTAAGTGATGTTAACTGTGGTATATTATTGAAATTTTTATTTAAATAGAAATACCTTTTTCTTATGCCAATTTAGGGATGTGCTGGCTGTGATAGTAATAAGTTAATTTGTGATAATATAGGGGTTAAGCTTCAATTATTTTATTTTATGATAATATAGAGGTTAAGCTTCAATTATTATTTTCTTAAGAAAATGAACAAATTAAGCTGTAAAACTTTATAAAATAACAAGAACTAATTGTAAAAACAATCAAAATAGTTTAAGAAAATATTATAATTAAGTGTTTTTGTTTTCAAAGTTTGGTTTGTTTTAAAGTTTAACAATGGTATAAATAAATGATCTTGTAAAAAATAAATACTTTTTTATTATTACATATTGTACTTTTTCTTCCATGACCCACAGTCATTTAAAAGGAACAGAATTAAAAAAATATGTATTCTGTCATGAAAACAAAAATATCAAAAAGTCTCAGTCACTAAGGATCGAACCGTCACCTCTCTCGAACAATGATCAATTATACAGTATAATTCGCTAATCACACGATTCCGCCACTAGTTCTAATGACAGTTAAGATGAATTTTAGCATCCGATTCAGATAGATGCTACCACCGAGGTCGATACGAACAAAACCTATAAGTAGGTGTATTTTATCTAGTGTTGTGCACACATGCATGAGACCAATCAACAACTTTCGTATACCTCAGTATTGTCTGGATATCATGTGTGTGTGCATAGAAACATTACACACAGAGATAAACTCAGAAACGGCGCGAGTGAATACGAACTGTACTGCACTTGTGACCCTTGACTGTACATATTAATGAATATTAATATACATATTTGATCATTATCAAATAATCTAATTTTTCACTATATTGTTCTACAGAAGTAGTTATCAAGCTCAACGTGTACGTAACTAGGCAGGTGCGAGAGTCATATCTGTTGGTCGCATCGCGTGCTGCAGGCGGAGGCCCGGCGCACTGGTGCACTATCCGATCATATGAGAGAAACCGTTCCGTTCAATACAGTGCGTATTACATGTTATGTGTGTTTGATTTCGGCTGCGGCCCGCTATACCGTACTAAACACAATATTATAGGTAAACACTGATTCTAATACCTGCTCTTTCGGACTCTATATTTGTTCAGCGCGGTAGAAACTCAGTTGGCCGTGCAGTTTGCCATCAAATATTAGCTATGCAGGTCAAACTCCTCACGACTACACATTTTCAATTAGCCTCGGCAAATAACCAACATGATATGACATAATAACAGGAAATGTAGTAAAGACGTGCGTATAATTACAATCACTTTAGTCGATTGGAATCACGATCTCCGCTGTTACCTGGCAGTGCCACGACCGCGCATGCGCTGTAACGCTGGCTACGTCGCTTGTAAAGTGGGCCCCGAGGACACTTAATATCTAACATTTACCATAAAACAGGCTCTATTTGAATACAATGTCAACATTATTGCGCGTGAATAATGCAGCAGAGCGGTGTGTCCTGTGCACCTGAGCCCTCTGTACGGCGGCTCGTCGATACTCAGCTGCTGTTATCAGCGCAGGCGCATAATATCGCACCAACTTGCGCACCCTACACATTGTTTACACACGTTATCTGTTCGGTATTTTTCGTTGGTTAACTTTCTAGTTGAGAGTTTAATGTTAAATGCATTATATTTAAGAGTTGTTGTACTAAAAAGTAATATGTAGGTACTTACCTATACTGTACTATAATGCGGGGAATATACTGTTGTGTCTATGTAAATAAAATTCATTTTAATATGTTTGTTTAGATTTAAAATGAGAAGTGGTCTGACAACTAAACAAATTTTTAGTACACCTTTCTATTCGTTGATGCTTTTTGTATTTCTCCCGACATTATGATAATACCAGACTAGGTATCGCTAGGCGTGCGCCGCGCGGCTGTGGAAGTGTGGACCAGTTACCAATACTAATAATTCTTAATTGACAATAGCATAAGGTGTCGTATCCAGTACAATAACACGAGGAATCATTGCACATGTTTTAATCATACTTTATGATATATTTTTTTAACATGGACTTGTTATACAATTTAAAATTATAAGACAATTCATCGAACTAGACTACATATAATCTGTAGAAGAAGTGGAACTATAAAATATATCAAGGAAGTCATTTCATAACTTGTATCCGATTGAGACAAAAAGTGGTAAGTTCGTCGCTCGGCGGCCGTCGCCGGCGCAGGTCGTCCATTGTAATCGATTATATATATCATACATATAAACATACGATAGTCTTTTTTATTATTACTCTTTATATATACGTGTCTACTATATATTAAGGCTAGGATGGCTATAAGCGGCTCATGATCGTCGCCTCGTAAGACAATAAAAGATTTTAGAATTGTCTGTCTGTTTCAAAGGTAGCTAAAAATATCTTTAGAGATCTTTCGGTAATTGATGTGACCTTGGCAAAGTTGCTTTGCCAAGGTCACATCAACAGAACAAAGAATAAAGTCCTTTTGCTGGGGTCACAAACTGTTCCCCTTACACTGAGACAGTTTTTGTGACCACAGAAAAAGGACTTTATTCTTTGTTCTGTGTTTTGAACACTGCAAGTCAGTACATATTACAAGTACATTCTACAGTATCTACATAATTATTACAGTAAGTAAATATTATATTTAAATGATTTTTAAATTAAAAGTTTGTAAACACAAAAAAAGTGTGTTTTAGACCACACGACTGAAGTAAAACTTCTTGGCTATGAGAGAAAGCAAATGTGTACTCGCACCTCTCTCTCTTGCCCCTACAGTAATATACGAAAAGTAACTCTCTCTCTTTCTATCTTCACTTACTTTTATCTCCCTCTCAGCTTCTGTTCGCCTCGCCCGATCACACTTTTCGTAACGCCCTCCTCACGCATTCACCAGCTTACTCCCCAAGTCAATCGTACGTAAAGAAGTTTTACTTCAAAAAAATAGAGAGCATAAGTATGTACCGCTGCGTGTACACGCAGAGGGAGTGCGGAGACAGTGTCATTGAGCATCCGTGTGAAACTGTGAGCGGCGCGCTCTACGCGCCATACATTAAACATGACGACGACGGACGTGCTGGCCACGTCACGCGAAGAGCGCGACACACCGCGTTACAGATCTACATTGCGCGAACGGAACCGCGACGTAGAACTACCAACTACCTGTTTCCCACAAGTCTCTAGGAGTCATATAATGGACAACCGCACCTTTACATTATGTAAATTAAATAATGTGATAATAGTGATATTCAATTAGTAAACCGGTAAATTGAGGTGGCCGCAACATTCTAAAGCACCCGTTCCGATAAAGTGCATTGAAACACAGTAATTGATTATATTTACTGACAAATGCTTGTCCATTGACTAGTACAACACACCGAGCTGCAGGTACAACTTATCTATTTTTTTTTTGTCTGTTTTTTTTATTCTACTTGTTTGTGGGGCATTCACGACAGCCTGTGTCTGCCCCCATATGTTATTTATAACCATATGAAAGTTATGAAATCTTATTTCACTCAAAAAGCAGTATTACAAGCAAGAACGGATCCAGGGCTAGATCTAGCCAATACCATTAATAGTATGGAATCAAATTGGAGTTTGTCGTAAGTCGTAACTACACAAAAATGACACCTCCTGCATTAATAACTGGTTTCGCCCCTAATCACAATACTGGTCAAATCACGAATGCTGCTGTTAAATATAACGTGATTGCAAATTCTCAAATCTTGACACTAATCAGAAAGCTCCTGTAGCAAAATAGACAACTTATATCATATTAGTTTAACTTGTGCAAGGTCCCACTTATGCAGAAATTGTTTATTTACAATATGATGTTGTGTGACACAAGTCGAACTGGTTATTATGGGAAGTCTGAAAAAATGTGTAGGAGCACGTTTTTTGAGCTGTTCCTGTTGATATAACAGTAATAAAGAGAATAATAATAATATTAAAGCCATTTATGTCATAACCTTTAATTTTACATTTCATCCGTTGTTAATATTTTTTACGTAATATCTAGTGTTAGTTATAGTTAAAAGTAATCACATTAAATCTAATTAATCTAGGGTTGTAACAGTTATTTTTTTGTACATTTGTTGGTCTTGTTAAAAGCTACATCTATTAGCCGCGTTGCATTGTTTTTAATTTATCTAAGGTAGTTTATAACTACAGTTTTGATCTTCTGTGTTCACTGATGTTAAATGTCAAAGTAAAATGTTGAGTAGGGATAAAGTCTGGAAGCTTCCTGAACCTAGGATATATAAGTCCGGCTTTCTGCCACGGGAGACTCTGCTATCTCGTGTCTTCCAACCTTAAATAGTGTTTTGATTGTCGTGTAATTTGAATTTCGTAATATGTAGTCTGTTATAATCTACCCACTAATGTGGGTCCCAGATTTCGGGCTCAAGACGGTCAGTCTCAGACGGCGTGCTTGCTCTTTTGTGGCCTTCTGGTACAGACTCAAGTTTCTTGGTACCCTCTGGCAAAGCTGGTGATTGCGCGGCTCACGACGCAAGCGGACAGCCGTACCCAAGAGTTACGTACTTAAACTTATAATTACAAATTGTTAAAACTTTTATCCATATCTAATATAAATAGCCGACTCGGGCGGAAGAGGAAGTAACCTCCTGGAGGGACGACGAGGTGGCACCGAGCACCATCAGCTCGGCTTTAACGCGCTCCGCTGCAGTTTTTTTTTTCTTTCTTGTACCCACACTAATTTATTTAATTTTTCATTGTAAATTTGAACTACTTTTTTTTCTGAAATATACATGTATGTATAACTGAGGTGTAAGTTGTTTTCCTCTAAAGAGTCCCATAGGTTTCCCACACGCACACACTTCTATTCTCATACAAGGCGCCCTGAGGTAATCTCTTGGATCTCTCCACTGGGTCAGCCGGTGAGTAGTCCGCCTGAGAAGAAAAGCGGCTACAGGGTATGGACCCCATTTTGGGTATAGGTCTCCTCCAACGTAACAGTAATAGTGTGACAGTAATACTGTTCCACCATTGAGGCTCCAAATCAATTACGTCCAAGGTATAAAAAAAGATTATTATAAAATGCATTGTAATGTGACCATCTTGCGTCATTCATAGCTTTACATGGACGGTAAAAAGTAATTTATGTAAGTGCATATCGGGACAGTACTGACGATGGAATTCAGAAGCGTCAATCTCACGCAGCGTTTGATATCGAGAAATAAATGAGTCAATTTCTATTCCATTGTTTATTATGTAATTAACGTTCCCGATACTGTCGTGTTATACTTTATAAGGTTTTTATCGCTGAGCCATCACTGGCGCTCATGAGCCTGTGCGCCCCGCCCGCGCTTTGGCAGCGTGTGACAAGTGCACGGAGCGCATGCGCGGCGGGGGTGCGTGCGCGCGCATACATCAGGCGCGTTAATTGAATAACGGAATATTTATGCACGCGGAGATGTGCAGCTCCGCAGCGCCGCGCCCGTGCATACGCCTCGCACCGCCGCACCGCCGATAACACCGTTTATATTGCCATTCTCATACACGACACAATACGATACTTAAACGGGTATAAATATTTTATGCGTCGAGATAGTGTTGCCGTAATTGAATACTTGTCATGTTTTTAATAGCGGCTCGTAAACGCCTCTTAGATTTGGTTCTTATTCATGCCTTGCGGTGCTAACGATCTGTCTGAAAAGAAAAGATCGCACGGTAACACCCACGCGAGCATGCGTTACGCATGTGAACACACAATCCCCCATAGGGGCAAAACGCCTTAAATTATAACTAGCGGTCAAAGTATTACAAACCCACGTCTTTAACGTTAACTGAGGCCAGAAGTCAAGGCGGCCACTGCACAATAACTATATGATTGGTATTAAACACCACAACAGCTATCTCCGATGTGAAATGCGACCGATTTTACATAAATCCTCTAACACGACATAGTCATCGCTTTACACATAAGTATAAATACAGGTCTACACTAGCTATTCGCCCCAGCTTCACAAGCGTTTATAGTCACTGCTCCGCTTTTAAGAGTCGTGGCGTGGTGGTACATAGCCGTTAATAAAAATTGATATGGCATGGCCTATTTCTGGGTTCATATAAGAGTATGTCAGATAAAACGAAATAAAGTGATAAATACGCATTAGTTTATCGATCAGTAGATGTCACTTTCCTTGGTCGGATCCGCGATGTGAATGAGATGGAATACATCGTACAAGGAATGACGAGTCCGCAACTGTAACGAAGCTTAGATTTGAAAACAAGCCGATGTCATTGTGTGCCCTGGCAATTGGCACGAAAGCACCAGTAGTAATTGAATAAAATATGTCGTATTTATTTATATTTATTCCAAAACATGTGTTTGGATTAGTTAACAAAAAGAACAAAATTTACATGTTTATCGTAAAAAAAGCATTGTGTTTACTGTAACTAACAGTGTATTATGATAAATTTACAAGTACTTATGACAAGTAGTAGTTGAACAATTGACAAGTTGTCAGATGTCAACCGTGGACAGGTGCAGTGGCACTTGACACAGTGTGTACGCCCGCGCATCCACACAAACATCAAGTTATCTCTAACGGTGCCGGGCAGAGGGAGCTGTGGGCGCTCCACTCCACGCACGTACAAATGTGAAAACACTCGAGCGGGACAAGGGCGCCTGAGAGCCCCCGAGGGCCTCGCCAGTGCCGCAACGTGTTTGCTACAAACACAGAGCCAGTGTATGTGGTGCTCGAGCGGAACATATCAATTGACGATAAACTGTAGAAGATAAATCATGTTAAGCAGCCGGGAGCCGGTGCTGTGAGTAAAGCACTACCAAATATCAACAAACCGTATATTATTGTTTACACTTATACAAAATCGCTGACTAACCACAATTAATTCATATGGCAATCAAAAATCAACCAATAAAACTGCCGAATACCTATACTAGTGAACTTGGACTTTGACCATTTATTTTGGTCTTACAGTATAACTAGATTTTAATCGAAACATGGTCTATTCAAATTTATTTAATGTAAAATTCAAATATCGAAATACAACAAGCAAACAAACATAAAATAAAACGGACGGCTATATAACGTATAAGGGTGAGGCTCGAAAAGCAGTAAATTAATTACAAATATAACGTTCAGCGCTCGTTGAACGCACTGCAAGGAGTGCGCGCCGCGAGGACAGGTGCGGCGATTGCGTGCCGCAGCCATCTTCTAAATATTATTGCACTAAAAACAATTGAATCGATCAATACCGAACCGAACACTAATAGAACTGTCAATATAATAAACTAATTAACTATGCAACTTTGTCTAAGGCTTGTTGAGGAGGCGTATAATGTATAACATATATACAACCGTTCATAACTTTTTTTAACCCCTTAGGGGTGAAATTTACAAAAATCTTTGCTTATAACATAAAAAGTTTCAAATGTATAAATAATTTCATCAACAGCCTTTAATAGTCCACTGCTGGACATAAGCCTCTCCTTAGAAAGGAGGTTTTGGCCTACTATACCACGCTGGCCAGACGGGTTGGTATAGGGTTTGTGTCAAGTTTTCCTTCTCTCTGAAGTGCTGTTGTTCTGCGTAGTTTTCTCCCTTAGTCGTCTCTTACGACACCCACGGGATGAATAGGGTTGGTGACACTCTGTATTCTTAATACGTCACCACACGGACGGTATAAATAATTTAAGGCTTAAATAATGTTAGAAAAGTTTAAAACTGTTGAACTTCTGGTCTTAGTAACTCGGTTGTTTAACGAGACGCAAATTTATTATTATTATCGATCCAATTAACAGTACAATTTCAACGACTATTTATATACAATCTAGCGATTTGGTGAGCGTACGGAGTCGGCAGAAATATTAATTATGGCCATCTGAACGCTGTATAAGAGCGTTGCTTCATTAGCAATAAACAACGCGTCGTGCGCCCGCGCAGCGCTTCATCAACCGTTACCACAACTTACACTAACTCACTGTATCTCCTAATAGCGCTACACAAATATAAACTGAGACTTTCGTATACACGTAACATTCCGTTTAATATTTAAATAGTAACTTAACACTATACACTAACAAATTGGACTACAATAAAAAGTTTATTATTATTATTAATGATGCTATTGAAGATTCAGTACCTTCTAAATGTTACGTAGATTACTATATACGTTTTGAGATGCTCGAAATTTGAAAA